ATTCCGGCGTCTTCACCACGGTCAGACCTCTCCTCGCCCCCCGGCCAGTGTACCTGCGTCTGCCCGCTTTGTAACGGCACCGCGCGGCGGGTTTTTTTTGAACACCTGCCAGCGCCACAGGTGACAGCCCAACTGAGTCCCCGTCTCACCTCAGACTTCTGGGGAATGTTGCAGAACCGGTTTTAACAAGAAAACGCCTTTGACGTCTTTGAAGAAGTTAGCAAAATGTCTGCCCACGCTGTGCCCGAGGTCATGGTAATTATTGAGAGGAAGATAAAAGATAAATCCTTCAATTCTTCTGCCAAAATTGTTTTGTCTTGTACAAACAATTCAGTCACGCAGGCAAACAACTCAGTCACGCAAGTATGTATACATCATTATTGTTAATCATAGGTCAAGAGTTTATGTTAACTTTTCAAATCGCGTAGAAAAAAAATGGACGATTGTATGGTTTCGTACAAAATTGTAAATGCAATGACTTCGCACATCACACATTATGCTGGTTTTGAACTGTGATTACGTCCGCCACAATGACATTTCTTAATGTGTTTTAACCTTTAACGTACTAGTATAACAGTTGTTGTGCTCCAACCGGCTACTATGTCGAAAAGGACATTTTGTGATTAAAGCCACTGTCACACATGGCCGAATCCCGAACGCTAGCCGAACTCCCCACAACCATGGTTAGGAGTAGGTCGTAATGCGGCTAAGTAGTCGGCTGCTATTCGGCTGCGCCAAACATTCGGGGGTTGGTCGGGAGGTTCGGACACGGTTGAGTGGGGCTCGGCTGTACGTTTAACCAAACACCAGTAAAACATTCGGGAGTAAGTCGGGGCGTGTTCGGCTGTCAAACATGACTCAAATTTAACTTAAATTCGTTTTGATTTGCATCAAAAAAAAGGTAGGCGTGGCCTAAATCTGGCCAGACTGCTTCAGCCGACCAACTTCAGGTGTTGAGGGGTAATGTCGGGGAAAGGTCCTGAAAATGTGACCTTTGAGGCACATTGTACTCCAGCCGACCGCTACGTCGAAAAGGCCATGCATGTTCTCATTGAAGTCAAATTGGGCAGGGGGAATAGGACTAATGTGCTGCCTCGAATTCTTATGCAAGACATGAAAAAAGGTCTCCCGTGCTCTATGCAGAGCATAGGGTTTGGTGCCCGTGTCCATTTCCGTAGCACTTGGGCGACACACAGTTGTGCAGGCACTACAGCAGGGGGCTAGTTCGCTGGTACATGTAGTGCTATGTGTTTGACCTTCCAACACTCTTTGTCATAAGTGCTGTGTGCTAATCATACATGTAGAAAGAAGTGTGTACCATTTTAAAGTCTTTGGTATGACCCGGCCGGGGTTTGAACTCACGACCTCACGGTTACAAAGCGAGCACTCTACCAATTGAGCTATTGCACCGGTTACAAGACATGAGATAATGAAAAAAATATCATGTATCTCGGCTTAACTAAATCCCTCGCCACACATAGCCGCATATCACCTCCGGAATGCATTTCTCCTCCCAACCATAGTT